CACCCTAACCCTCAGAACTCGTGGGGGGTAGGGGTAGGGTTCGCATGTGGCCCCCCTAGGTATCGCTAGAACCTTTGGTCTCCCGAGGACGGACCCGCAGAGCGCCAGCTCCGAACCCCCCAGGACGCCTGGACGCAGGGGTGTGTTGTCCACCGAACTTGCAGGGTGGGCCCGTGTCCATCTTTCCGAGCACCTCGTCTTTGGCCTCGGCCTCAGCTGCGGTTGCGCTGCCAAGCGCCGTCAGGCCAGCTCACCCGAGTCGGTCGTCCGCTGGCATGGGTACCTCCCTGATTCAACCCTTACTTCCTTTTGCTCTCACTACTCCCTCTTGTCGCTGGAACTTACGTAGTGGGCCACGTGACAGTTTTCCTTGCGAAGGACGCAACCATATTTATTGTGAGTACACCGTTGTGGGTACCATTTTCGGTGGAGCGCCCCTTGGGCCACGAAGCGTGTGATGGGTGTGTCGAAAGCGTCGCGGTGGTGTCATGCGATTGCAGCCAACGGGCCTTCGGAAGCTTTATATGGGGCCACGAAGCGTGTGAGGGGTATGCCGACATGGGTGGGGCGGACGCATGCGAATCCTGCCACTGGGGCCTTCGGTGAACCTTCTTATGGGGCCACGAAGCGTATCAGGAGTGTGCCGACATGAGTGGCGGGAACGCATGCGAAGGTCGCCCCTGGGTATTGGATGGAGCTATGGGGCCACGAAGCGTGTGAGGGGTCTGCAGGAATGGGCGGGGCGGACGCATGCGAACCTTGCCGCTGGGGCATTCGGTGGAACTCCCTAGGGGCCGCGAACCGTGCGAGGGGTGTGCCGAGATTGTACCGGTGGACACATGCGAACCCTGCCAATGGGGCTTTCGGTGGAGTGGTCCATGAGGGGTGGGCCGAAATGGGTGGCGGCGACGCATGCGAACGGCACTACTTGGGCCTTATGTGGAGCTCCCTAGCGTGCCACGAAGCGTGTGAGCAGTGTGCCGAAATTGATATCGCGGAAGCATGCGAACGGCACCATTGGGGCCTTAGGTGGAATTTCCCATGGGGCCACCAAACGTGTGAGGAGTCTGCCAACATAGGTGGCGGGGACGCATGCGAACGGCGCCCCATAGGGCCTTAGGTGGAGCTCCCTATGGGGGCCACGAAGCGAATGAGGGGTGTGCCGAAATGTGCGGCGGGGACAAACGCGAACGGCACCACTGGGGCTGGGTGGAGCTCCCCATGGGGCCATGAAGCGTGTGAGGGGTGTGCCGAAGTTGGTGGCGGGGACGCATGCGAACGACACCACTGGGGCTGGGTGGAGCTCCCCATGGGGCCGCGAAGCGTGTGAGGGGTATGCCGACATGAGGGGCGGGGACGCATGCGGGCTGCGCCACTGGGGCCCTGGGTGGAGCTCTCTATGGGGCACGAACTGTGTGACGGATGTGCCGACATGGGGGGCGGGGACGCTTGGGGGCTGCGCCATTGGGATCATCGGTGGAACTTCCTATGGGGCCACCTTGCGTGCGAGGGCTATGCCGAAACAGAAGCATGCGGAGGGCAGAGGCAGGGATTCGAGGAGGGGGGAGGGGGGAGGCGAAGGAGGCGTGACGCGGGACGTCTTTTGAAAACGAGGACCCACCACCACAGGATGGCTAGGAACAAATCAATTGAAACGGTCGTCTCGGCGCGATCAAACGTCTTGCAGATCGGGGCCCCAAGCGGTGCAGTTTGACGGGCGATGCGACTCGCGAGCGCTTGAGCCATCGAGAGCTCAAAAGCTCCGCGCTCGAGCTCGTGCTGGACCCACTCTGGGCGTGCACGTTCGGGTCCCTGCCCGCGCACGCTTGGAGCGTCCTCGGTCCGAAGAAGAACCTGCCCGTGCTCGGCGACACGCCGGAGGCGATCGGGTGGCCCGATGCTCGCCTGCCCGCTGCCCTGCGGAACGGATTCCCGAGGCCGGGGTGAGACCCCGCGGAGCGGCACGCTGCCGCAGGCACCGCCCGCGCCCCGCGCTGGGTCGGCGGCGAGCCTGCGCGCACGGGCCGCGGCCCCGAACGATCGTTGTGATCGTTGTGATCGTTGTGATCGTTGTTATCGTTGTTATCGTTATCGTTGTGATCGTTATCGTTGTGATCGTTGTGATCGTTGTTATCGTTGTTATCGTTGTTATCGTTGGCCCTGGCAGGGTGGCACAGCGAGTCGGCGGCGAGCGAGAGGGCCCTCTCGGAAGGCTCGGAAGCCCCCCCCCCCCCGGCCCCCCTTGAGAAGCTTCCAGAGGCCGCCCCGAAGCCCGCCAGCAAAAGGCACTTCCCAGAGGGCGCTCCAGGGCTTCTGAGAGAGGTCCCGCCGCCCCCCGAGCAGGCCTCCTCCTCCTCCTCCTCCCCCCCCCCCCCTCCCCCGCGCTCGACGCCGAGCGAGGCAGGCCCCCAGTGGCCTTCTGAGCAGGCCTATCCTGCTTCTTCCCCCCCCCCGCGCTCGACGCCGAGCGAGGAAGGCTCCCAGTGGCCCCATTGCCAAAACCTCCCGCCCGCGGGCCGCCCCCTCCGCCGGCGCTCCCCCCGCCGACGAGCCCCCCTCTCCCGGAGCGGCGCGCGCGCGCCGCAGCCGGGAGGCCCCGCGGCGACGCCGCGGGCCGCCAGAGGCCTCGGGCTGCGCGCGGTCGGCCCTCCCAGGTGCGGTTCAGTCGGGCCTGTCCCTCTACAGGGGGCATCTTCAAACATCTGTTTTTGTCTTTACCAAAAAAGTCTGGGGACTAGTTCTTGAGTATTTTGGGGGGCATCTTTTGAATATATTTGGGGTATTTCTTATTGTTCGTCGACAATCCCCCCGTAGGGGGGCACGCCCGACTGGAAGGAAGCCCCACGGCGACGCCGCGGGTCGTCAGGCCTCGGGCTGCGCGCAGTCGGCCCTCCCAGGTACGGCAGCTCCGCGTCGCGTCGACCGGCGGCGACCCCGCCGCCGGCGGCGTGCCGCGCGGAGCGCCGCCGGCGACCCAGCAGCGGTGGATGTGGAGCGATCGGATGCTTCTCTGGACGCCCGAGATGGGTACTGAAAGAATGGGTACTATGCCCAACAGCGGATCTGGTTCATTTTGAAGGAGATCCGCTGTCCACGCCGCCGCGGCTTGTGCCCATTCGAGACAAGAGGCCGCCCGCCCAACGGCGGCCGCTGTTGGTTTGGGACAACATTGGTTGTTGGGCATAGTGCCCATTCTTTCCGTACCCATCTCGGGCGTCCAAAGCTTCGGGGACGGCCGATCCTTTCAGGTGGAGCGGTCCCCGCCGGCGTCAGAAGCCGACGCCGAAGCCAGCACGGCACGGCCCGGCAGCACGGTCAACCCGCAGAGGCAGGGTGGGCAGCCTTCCCCAGGGCACCCCTGCAGCCTTGCCTCCTCGACCCCTGGCATCGCTCGGACGTGTGTCACCACCCACCAAACCACCCCAACCCAACCCGAAGGCTCAAATTTACCCTCGATTTCTAGTGGGGGGGGTCGGGAAACATCGAAAAAACACATGTGGAACCCTTACCCCCCCAACCCGAAATTCGGGTCTTCGGGTTGGGTTGGGGTGGTCTGGTAGGTAGTCAGTGTGCATTTTTTCCCGGCGAGGGCCATCGAGGAGCACCCGTGATCATTTGGCGAAAAAACCACGCACGGAACCAAACAAAAACAGAGGGAATGGACGTCCGAGCGATGGCCAGGACCCATCCTTGGCCGCTTTCGTTGGCCGCGCCCCCCGCTCGACCGTGGCTCGTCAGGCCTCGGGCTGCGCACGGTCCCCCCCCCCCCCCCCATCGGGGGCGGAAAAGAGGGGGGTGATGACTAGGGGGGGGGGGGGGATATCATGGCGGGGACCATGATATTTCCCCAGATCTCATGGCGCCTCTTCTTATTTCATTCATTACGTCCCGGGGCCCCCCCGCTGGGCCGCGCACGTGCCGCCGGTCATGATCTGCACTCCCCCCTCTTGGACGCCCCCCTCTTTGCCGCGCCCGACCCCAGGTAGTCCCAGCTGGCCTCGACCGGCCCGGCCGGCCCACCCAGGCAGTCCCAGCGGGCCTCGACGGGCCACCCCGAGTAGCGTTTGAAGTCGGGCACGTCCCTCTACAGGGAGAATCGTCCCGCATTCTCCAAAAGAAGGCATGGGCACGATGTTTCTAGGATTTGGGGACGACTTCGGAGTTTTTCGAATGCAGGACAAATTGTGAAACATGTTTCTTCCAGGGTCCGCCCGTCTGCAGGAGGACATGCCCGACCTGAGAGTAGTCCGGCGCGGTCTCAGCACCCCAACCCTGGGGCGCGGAGCCCCCCAGAGGCGCCGCCGGAAGCTGCGCGCCAGGGCGTCGAGACCGCCCTGGACTATTCGGAGGGCCTGTTGGGACCAGCTGGGGCTGCCTGACGGAGGTGTCTGTGCGGAGCCCGAAGCCTTACCAGCCGTAGGCAGTAGGGATTCTGCGCTTGTGGTGCGCGCCTGGGTTGCGTGAAGGCGCATCTTCGGAGGTCCGCCTCGATCCGAGGAGCTCGCGCGGACTTCTGGAAGTTAATTACTGCTTGTGTCTTCTGTTTTGAGGGTTGGACCGGTGGTGCGCAAAGACAGTTTGAGACATTTGGGTTTGAGAACCACCATCTCGTAACTCCAGATGGTGACTGCCGGGCGGGGTTGCTGCGTGGACCCTCTGCAAAGAGACGGCCGACCACTAGGCTTGTTCGGGCAGCTAGCAGCGTGTGACTTCCCAGGCAGATAGCAGTGGCCACCATCGCTTGAACTACGAAGTCGTTCACTCCAAGCTCTGATGGCGGGGTTCGAGGTCCGTTGAGATAGGTCCGCGTCAGCATCGCAGGGACGAGGGCTAACCTCTGCGGAATAATCATAGAAGGAGCACCCGACCCCCATGTTGGGATTTTTTGTTTACAAAGAACGTATCGAGGTGTCGCCCCATCCTCTAATATTCGTGTTCCTTGTTTTGCCTCCCTCCCCCGATCTCCGTCCCCGCTGAGTCCTCCCTTCTGCACTCGTCCTCCTGCTCTCACTCTTCTGTCCCTTCTACCCTCTCTCCGCCCCCTCCTGCTTCCCCCCCCTCCTCTCTCTTCCCTCCCTCCCGCCTCCTCCTCCTCCTCCTCCTCCTCCTCCTCATCATCATCATCATCATCATCATACTCCTCCTCCTCCTCCTCCTCCTCCTCCTCATCCTTCTCCGCCACCTCCTCCTCCTCCTCCTCCTCCGTCCCACCCCCATTCGTCCGAGCTACTCTCGACGACGGTGGTTGCGGGGGAGGGGGGGGGGCAGGCTGCCCCTGGGCGGCTGGCTGCATTCGGGCGATGTCTCTCAGCAGTCCGCCCAAAGCCACGGTGTGGGGGGGAGGAGCAGGTTGGGGAGGCAACGGCTGCGCCTCCGCGCGGAGGCACAGAGCCGCGCTCGAAAGGCTCGAAAGGTTGGGGAGGAGGACAAGCATGACCGAGGAGGCGGAGAGGGGCGGCAGGACGAAAGCAGGGACGGATAAGGGAGTGGGACGCGGAGGGAGGTATAGGAGGGGGGAGGGAGCAGGAAAGACGGAGGAGCGAAGGAACGGAGGGAGGGAGGGAACAAGGGACGAGGAGGAAGGAGGGCAAGGGGGAGGAGGGAGGAGGAGCAGAAGGAGGAGGAGGAAGAACTAGAGGGAGCCGGAGGGAGTGAGGATGACGAGCACGACTAGAGGAGCCGGAGGGAATCTATATTATACACAGTGGGATGCACAAGTCTAACTCTACACTTGGCTTGCCCATCGAGTCCTTGTCCTTCTCCCGCCTGCTGGTCCCGCATCCGGGGGTTGCGCACGGGAGTTGCGCATGCATAGTTGGCAGTCTTAAGGTCGTGTAGCGCAGTTGAGAGATGCACCAGTGGAGCAGCATGGTGGCCTGGCAGGAGAACGGCGTGGTGGATAAGAAGCGTCTGGGGGCTGCGCCCTGGAGCGGTGCACGTAGAGCGCGTCAGAGTTGCAGGTGCAACGCATGCTGCGACTTACTCCGCCCCCCTCAGCGCGCCCGGAATGGGTGGGCGCGACGTCCATTCCTCAACGCGAAGCGAAACCGTTCGATGGCGCAAGCGGAAGCTTGTTCCTGGTATCTCTCTCTCTCTCTCTTTCTGTCTTCTCCCCCTCCTCCCCCATCCCCATCTTCATCCCCCTCCTCCTCCTCCTCGTCCTCGTCCTGGTCCTCCTTCTCCTCCTCCTTGTCCTGGTCCTCGTCCTCGTCTTCGTCCTCTCTATCTCTCTCACTACTCCCCGCCTCGGGTGCCCGAGTCAGCAGAGAGAGCAGAGAGTATATTCCCGAGGGCAGAGCGTGGCCTCTCTGCGCAAGGAAGCGCCTGGTGGGCGACGTGGCATGCGTCGTGGCGTTCGTCGTCTACTGCGGGCCGTTCAACTCGGAGTACCGCGACGAGCTGCACCAGGGCCCCGCGTCGGGGTGCCAAAATCTTCGGAGGAGGACAAAGGGGCATCGATGCCGCCGACCTTCCCTCGTTTTTCCGCCTTGGGGGCCTCCTGGAAGGCCCTCGTCGCCACCGCTGGATTCGCTTCGAATGTTTTGTCAGAACGTTGCCTGGGAGAGGTCCGGGTAGTAGCGGTAGCGGTACCTTCTAGGTTTTCCAAGTCTTGGGCACCCAGGAGGGCTAACAAATAGCACAATGACCTCGACATCCAAAATTCCAGTCGAGGTTCTGATGAGTCAAGATGGGTCTGCAGGTATGGACAGCTATTGTTTGGCGCTCTGGAAGGTAGAGACCGGGGGGCGGGAGCGGGGGGGACGAGGATCGACTTTGGCTTTCGGGCTGTTCCTCAGACCCAGATCTTCGGCGCAGCCCTTGGCGCGCTCCGCGCGCCAGGGAAGAGGTGGTCAAGCGCCGATCCGAGAAATCTACTCGGGCCTCGGAAAGTTGATGCTTGAGCTGCTTTCTGCTACTCCACGAGAGGGGGGTGTCCGCGCACGCCAAGCACCGTTTGAATCGGGCTTTTCTCAAGTTCTAGGTGCAGTTCAGTAGCGCTAGTCTCCTTGGCGGACTGAGGCTGAGCCGTAAGACAGGCTGCGGAGTGGAAGAAATAGACGCTGGCGAGAGAGTTCCTCATGACTCCGTAGCTGCATGAAGGCTGGCGCATAAAGAACGGATTTTGAAAGAGCTCACACATCGACCTATACATATCGAGAGAGGATGTCTGTCATTCAAAATCCGTTGTGTACACACTCCCGCCGCCGCGAGGCTTTGTGAGGGAGACGCACGAGAGAGGGGTGCCCGCGCACGCCAAGCTGGAGCTGGCGTCCTTCCTGGTCGACCAGGAGTCCGGTGGGGTGCACCCCGTCGCCTCCTCGGTACGGCGGACGTAGGCACAGTGGAGACCCATGCCAAGAAACACCCTTCTTGCCTCCAGGGTGCCCTGGGTTTCTTGGCTTTCGATGGTTCTGCGAGGGACATCGTGACGCTCCCATACCACAAAACGATAGACGTGCTGGGGTCTCAGGGTTGGGTTTCTTGTGGAAGGTTTCGTGT